ATTATTGATACTGATTTGTCTCTACTTTATACCTGTCTACAGTAACTATATAGGATAAAAATAAAAGAGTAACTAAACTAAACTGAATTAGTTACAACCAAACTAAACTAAACTGAATTAGTTACAAGGTAATTAATAATTAAATATAAAACTCCCCCTCAAGATGGAGTGTGTATATCAAATACAGCCATCTTGGACAGTAGAGGAAACAAAGATGAAGATGGTAATAGCTTGGTGAAAAGATCAGCCAACTGGTGTTGAGATCTAATAGGCATCAACCTAATTAGACCAAGAGATACTTGATCACGAACAAAATGGCAGTCTATTTCAATGTGCTTGGTTCGTTCGTGGAAAGTTGGATTAGAAGCAATATGAACTGCAGCTTCATTGTCACAAAACATCAAAGCTGGAGAAGAGCTGTTAACACCAAGATCCTGCAAAAGTTGTGATAACCATCTCAATTCTGCTGCAGTAGCAGCCATTGCTCTGTATTCGGCTTCAGCGGAAGATCGAGAAATGGTGGTTTGCTTCTTGGATTTCCAAGATATTAATGAATCCCCAAGAAATACACAAAATCCAGTGACAGATTTTCTTGAATCTGAACATGAAGCCCAATCTGCATCAGTAAATGCTTTGAGTTGTAATGCAGAAGATGAGGGAAACAAAAGTCCCTGCCCAGGTCTGTTTTTGAGACATCTAAGCAAGTGGTGAGCTGCCTGCAAGTGAGGTGTTCTTGGGTGAGAGACAAATTGACTTAATTTGTGAACAGCAAAGGTAATATCCGGTCTAGTGAGTGTTAAGTACAACAATCTCCCAATCAGCCTGCGAAATTGTGAAGGATCAGATAACATATCACCATCAATGCTATTAAGTTGAGACTTATGCTCCATGGGTACAACAACTGGTTTTGAAGCAAGAAAAACAATATCTTCTAATAATTGGAGAATGTATTGTCTTTGAGACAACACAATACCTTTGTGGCTCCTAGAAATTTCCAATCCTAAGAAGTATTTCAAGGTACCTAAGTTTTTAAGCTTGAATTGTGAATGCAGAAACTGTTTCAAAGCTTCAATTATTTCAGAAGAAGGACCTGTAAGAATAATGTCATCCACATATACTAGGATGGCAACAAAGGATGAACCAATACCTTTTGTGAAAAGAGAATAATCTGACTTGGACTGCCGAAAGCCATGTCTTAAGAGAGCAGCACTAAACTTAGAATGCCATTGTCTTGATGCTTGTTTAAGGCCATAAAGAGCCTTATGTAAACGACGTACAGGTTTGCCACTATGATTAAGATGCTCCCCCTGAATTTTACAACCAAGAGGTAGATCCATGTAAACTTCTTCAAAGAGATCTCCATTTAAAAAGGCGTTATTCACATCCAATTGATGAAGAATCCAGCCTTGACAAGATGCTACAGCAAGTAAGGTTTTGACCGTTACCAATTTTGCAACCGGCGAAAAAGTATCAATGAAATCCACTCCCTCTTGTTGAGTATAGCCCTTAGCTACCAAGCGGGCTTTGTGTCTCTCAATTGAACCATCAGACTTGAACTTATTTTTGTAAATCCAACGACAACCAACTGTGTGTTTGCCAGTAGGTAAAGGAACAATGGACCATGTGTTGTTAGCTTCCATAGCTTGCAACTCAGCTTTCATGGCTTCACGCCATTCAGGGAATTTAACTGCTTGATGGTAAAACTGAGGCTTATAATGTGAAGAAACATTAAGAGTAAAATTTTTGTGTGCAGAAGATAGTTTCTCATATGAAATTACTGAAGATAGAGGGTAAAGAGTGTATGTACTAAGAGTGTTAGAGTGATGGAGAAGATTGCAATGATATTCTTGAAGATATTTTGGGCATCTGGATACACGAGAGGATCTCCTTGGAACTGATAAAACCATTGTATCATTGGCTGGTTCAGGCTGTTGATCTGGTACATTAGTATCCTCAGATTCTAGTTCTTGAAGAACATGGGATTGTGGAGGAGAGACAACCTCTGATTCTGGACATGGAGAAGATGTAATAATATTTGGTAGTGCCAAATCCGGAAATGGATCCATAGGAATGTGTTGAGAAGATACACCATGATAAGGAAATATTTTCTCATGAAATATCACATCACGGGATATGAAAATTTGTTGAGTGACTATGTCAAGAAGCTTGTAACCTTTCATACCTGGGGGGATAGCCTAGAAAAACACAACTGCGAGCCCTTGGAAGAAATTTGCTTCGTTGTGCAGCCAAAGTTGAAGCAAACACCAAACAGCCAAACACTCTTATGTGTGAATAATCAAACTCCTTTTGATATAATAGATCATAAGGAGATTTATGTCCAAGCATAGAGGAAACAGTCCTGTTGATTAAAAAAACAGCAGTCAAAATGCAATCTGTCCAAAAACGAATGGGTACCCGTGATTGAAAAAATAAGGCTCTTGCAACATTTAAGATATGTTGATGTTTTCGTTCAACCACAGAGTTTTGTTGAGGAGTCTCTACACAAGAGAATTGATGAAGAACTCCTTGCTCACTGAAATACTCATCAAACTTCAACTCCTTTGCATTGTCAGATCGAAAAGACTTGATTTTCCTGCCAAACTGAGTAAAAATCATGCTAAAAAACTTGGGAATTATGGTTGAGACCTCAGATTTATATTTCAGCAAATAGACCCAAGTAAAACGGGTGCAGTCATCCACCAAGGTTACAAAGAACCGATGACCAGTGTAAGAAATTGTGTGGTATGGACCCCATATATCACAGTGTATTAATTCAAAAGGTGAATCAGAAATCTTGTTGTGAGAAATAAAAGGAAGTCTACGTTGTTTAGCTAATGGACAGATATAACATGGAACTTTATTATTTGTATGTAAATCTGAACAACCAATCTTGTCTTTCATATGATTCAAACAATCACTAGATAAATGTCCTAATCTATGATGCCAAGTATCACTAGATACAGTATTAACAATGGCAGAATGAGACATCTGTGTATTATTTGGAGTATGCAGTACGTAGAGTCCTTCCAACTTTTCACCCTTGCCAATCATCTTCTTGTTGTCGATCTGCTGAATTGTGAAATTATCAGGTAAAAAATTGAGCATGAGCTGAGAAGTACTAGTAAGAGCACTGACAGAGAGCAAATTAAATCTGAATTGCAGGACATAAAGGACATCTGTGACCAATAAGTGTGGAGTAAGCTGAATATCTCCAATGTGATGTACAGGTATTGAAACATGATTAGGCAATGTGACTGTAGAGCCATGAATTGGTCGTAAAGAGAGAAAATTCTGAGCATGATTGCATATATGTCTGGATGCACCAGAGTCTACTATCCATACAGTAGGTGAAGAAAACACAGGATTGAGCAAAACTAATGAACAAATACCTGTGTGTGAAACATGAGAAGAGCTATCAGTGGACGAAGATGCTTTGGAAGCCACATGACCAGATAGCAAAGTTAAGAGTTGATTGCACTTATTTGGGTCCAAACCTGCAAAAAGTTGGTGACAGCATATGTAGAAAGAGCAGGAGAGGAGTTCACACTTTGTTGTACAGACACTTGATTTGCAAGAGTCATATTTGTCTTCATAGCACTAGGTTTTTGTTTATGCTTAAAGCCTGGAAGATACCCATGCAATTTATAACACTTTTCAACAGTATGTCCATGGTACTGACAATGAGTACAGAATGGGCGATCTTTGCGAGTTCCTTTGGCAGAGGCATCATTTTTAATAGCAAAGGCTAATGTGCTTGCCGATTCAGTGCTGGAACTGGAGTGATCAGCTATGTAGCGTTGCCTTTCCTCTTGAACCACAAAGGAAAAGACTTTATTGATGGGAGGGAGGGGATCATAAAGGAGCAGTTGACCACGAATTTGAGAGAAAGAGTCATTCAACCCCATCAAAAAGGCCATGATATATTCCATTTGATAGTATGCTTCCAGTTTGCGGACACCACCACAAGTGCATGTGCCACAGGTGCAAGACGGACGAAAGCTGTTGAGTTCTTCCCATAACGACTTCAGCTTTGTAAAATAAACACTGACAGAGCTTTGATCTTGAGACAAATTGATCAAATCTCTGCGCAATTGAAAGATTCTAGGGCCATTGCTTTGTTGGAAACAATCTTTAAGATCATTCCATATTTGAGATGCAGATTTCGAGTAAAGAATACTCGCAGAAATCTCTTTCGAAGCAGAGTTTAAAATCCAAGAAATGACTATGTCATTATTACGTTTCCAAGAACGAAAAAGAGAGGAATCCGTACTAGTAGGTTTCTGAATAGATCCATCGACAAACCCTAGCTTGTTCTTGACCGATAGGGCGATGAGCATTGATCTACTCCAAGAGGCATAGTTATCTCCTGAAAGTGGTTGCGAAACAAGAACCAAGCCCGGATTGTCAGAAATGGTGAAGAAAATAAGGACTTGAAGGATCATCAATCTCGGTTCTGACATTTGAGGATGCCATGCTTGAGGTTGGAGAAGAGAGATTCAGGTTAGGGCTCTGAAACCTGAACCAAAAACCAACCGATTGAGAGGAAATCAGAGTCACGAAGAGAAAGCGAAGCGACAATTGCCTCCTGATACCATATTACACTTATGCATTATCGGAAGACATTCAAGAAAGAGAAGGAAAAGAAACTGAAAAACTATTATTGATACTGATCTGTCTCTACTTTATACCTGTCTACAGTAACTATATAGAATAAAAATAAAAGAGTAACTAAACTAAACTGAATTAGTTACAACCAAACTAAACTAAACTGAATTAGTTACAAGGTAATTAATAATTAAATATAAAATACCGAAAATATTTTTCATAAATATATAGGGTTATAGCCACCAAACTTGAAATGCCTCGTCAAATGATTTTCATTAAAATTGGAAAAACATGTTGCGGTTGCAAGAATTTTTTTTTTCTATAAAAATACAGGTATGTATTAGGAAAATAAACAAACACATGATAGCAACAACTATAAACAACAATTCGTTTCCTAATAATCTGCAAAAAAAATAAAATAAGATGCACCATTCACCAGATTTTCTTAGAAAGTATTAGCCAGCGTGAGGCTCTGATTCTTTACATTGAATTTCTCCATATCAGGTAACTTCAACGAAAGCTTAAGAGACAAGAAAAGAAAAAAGGGAAAAGAGAGTGTGGTAGCAGAATGCTTTACTCCTTCATGTATACAAAATGTGAATCTTGGATATTTTGATCAAATGTTGACTGTTTGAGAACTCTAGATGATCTCATATGTAGCTTTTGAAAGTGAAGTTCTTTTATGAGTGCAATATTGAAGCTGATCAGGTGTCTAGCTGTTGCTGCCTTATATTTTATGCTCATGTCCTGCATACTGCATGCAAATCAGGAGTACAATTTGGACAAACACCAAGGTGCTTGTAACTAACTTCACTGATCTGGCTTTTCTTATATTATCATGGTAAAATGAAGTGCACTGTCACTATTCAATTGATAGCCTGAATTTGTTCTCTCTGATAACCTGTATTGCCAAGTCAGTCATGCAATACAATCTTGTCTTGCATCCACCATGGTTAGTTCCCGGCCTTTCGACACAGTAAATCCATGCCCAAGTTTATATATTTGTGAAGTAATCAGTAAGTCAAGTTTCCAACTTGCATAATGGTTGAATTGATCAGGTAAAGAACCTAGTACTTTATGAGGGTTGGTAGTGAAGCATGAAGTTCAGCCAAGCATTGAAAGATCCAATTAAGAAGTTGTTCTTTTGGTAGCTCTAATAGAAGTTCAGCCTGCATGAGGGAAATCATAAAGAAAAAGAAGCATGAACTTGTTGCATTTATAGAAGATTTCCAGCAGTAGTATGGGACCTAAAATGTCTGTAAAGACAAAAAGATAGGAAGGATACCTAATGCATTAAGAATTACTAGATTAATAGACAAACGCCAGCAATCATAATACTCAGAAAAAGAGAAAAATATTGGATTCATAATCCCTACATTTCATGGCACTGAATCCTCCTCCTCAAATCTCAATGCCATTTAAGGTAAATATTTTGTGTGGGAATGTGTTTAAGAAGAGAGAACTTCTTTGATAAGGGGAAAACTGAACAAATGATTAACAAAGGTAACCAAATTAAAGAAATTGAAAAAATAAGAAAAAAATTACCTTAATTTGGTCCCCTTCAAGGACCAATGAATTTCTATGTATATCTGATGTCGTCGACTCTGTCATTATCTTGAATACCTTTTTACTTATGTTTGTTTTCATAAAGACCATCTTCCCTGAAGAGTAAATTCTGGTTACCCCTATATCAGCAGCCATTCTCCTTACATAAAGCTTTTTTAATAAAATCTCCATGGAGCAAGGCTCTTTGCCATAATGGCGGCGCAAATTCTCTGTAAATTGCATCAGACTCCAGATGTCTTTCTCAGCAACTCTCTCAGCTTCATTTATTATTTCCATAGGGTTCTCCAGATAATTTATGTAGTCAGAAGGAAGATGAGGATTGATGTTTATGTCAACCTAAATAATAATTATGTATAAAATGCATCAACCACAGATCTCTATTGTATGCATTTATGTAGATGCTAGGTACAGATTCTACCTACACAAAAACATACATACATATGTAGAGAACAAGAATTTAAACCAGCAATAATATTATCAGGACTATTTAGGTGTAGGCTCTGAAGTGTTTGTATAATTGTATTCATAAATCATAGTTAATTTATTCATGTTATATATTTCTGAGAGGTGGTTCACATCTGGTAGATTGTATAGTTGAATCAAGTGTATACCTAGAGCAGGATGCTATATTTTTTATTTGATTAATAGAACTACTAATTAATTCAAAATTTCGTTCAAATAAAAAAAGAAAGAAAGAGAGAATTCTGCCATAATAAATAATTCTACAATAGAGCAAGATTCATTCTGTTAAAGAACTTATGATATTGATGATACTTCTGTGAATATGGTTCATTTGAAACCATTTTTCTATAAGTTCAGCTTACAGAGGACAGATCGATGATAACAAAATCAGTTCATACATATCCAACTCAACGAGACCAATAATTACTGATTAATTACTTTTTATATGTTTGAATTATTATATTCTTAGAAGAATTTCCCCTAAAAAAACGTAGAAGACAATATTTTCTGGGTTTCAAAGGAAAATCTTTAATAGCAGTGTAATTTCAGTAGTTTAAATTTTCCTGTTTCACCTCTACCAGGAGAAAACAGTGTGAGATTTAACTTTTGCATTCTGATAAACATGTATCAAGCATTAATTATGCATATATCTTTAATCCTCTGTGGAAAATTTTCTTAACTAAGCATACCTGCACTGAGTGATAAGGAACTGGAACTACACGGTGATCTTCAACCTGGAAGTCAAAAAGAATAGGATAAGCCCAAAACTAACACGCAGATGATCAAGAACTAACAATAGAGCAAAATCCTAAGAAAACAAGTTTTCACTTTGCAGCCAACAAACAGAGCATGCAAATTAAACAACAAAATACTTCTATTTTAACTAGGACCGGGTGCTGATACAAAGAAACAAATCACAAATCAAAGTTACCTTGGACAAACTCTCAAAGAGCATCTCAAAGAACAGATCAATGCCAACATTTCCTACATCTCCTGTTTGTTGTTCGCCAAAAATTGTACCAAAACCTCTTATACTCATGTCTCTCTCAGCTAGTTGGAAGCCTTGACCAAGTTCACGGCATTCTTCAAGAGCTGCAAGCCTCTCCTATAGGAAATCACCAAGGAGAATGTTAGTTTTAGGCAATAGTTTTGCAATTGATTTTCTATAAGTCTAGGAAAAGTACTTATTTCATGCAATATGTTTTCAGAAAATAGTCCCACATCAGTCTTGCATCTTTAAACACATACTAATCTTTGAAAATTATTGTAAAATATTCTTCTACAATAGAGCAGTAATTATTTAGCTAGGTCTATATATTAAAATGAATATAGTAATTCATTCAGAAATAATATTCAATATTTTCCATTCAAGTTAGTATCAAAGCTCCTGATTTGGAAAACTCTACTTCTGCTAAATAAATCATAGTCTCCCTTCATTGCAGGGTCGCCTTCGTTGCGGATGTTTTTGACCTTCTGTTTGTGCTTTCATTGCACTCAAAAAACCCTATTTGCAACCTCAGCTACCTCTACACACTGCTGTCCACCGTCGCAACTTCTCAAGCTAGTGACCCTGACCCTTCCGCCAAACTCGCCATCCCCCGATTGTCCAACCACCGCACGTGTCTCCTTCTCCTACTCATCAGCTCAATGCACTACCGCACAATTTGTAATCAGTCCCAGCTAGCTAGCTGCAACCCCCGGTGTCTAGATTTTCCCTCAGCATGTTTATCTTGCATCACCTGCAAGTCCATTCTCTTATCTCCACCACATAGGCACGAACCAGCCACACCATCCACCTAACTCCATCATGTTAGACTCCAAGACAAGCCACAACTTTGCCACTACTCAGTCCACCATGTCCACTATCATGTCACTAACTCCAATGACTTACCGGTACTACATCCTACCTATCGCTAACTGAAAAAAATGACTTGGGCCTATTTGAGATAATGTTTTTCCAGTAAGCCAATAGGTAGGATGTAGGACTGGTAGGTCATTAGGAGTGAGCGATCCTCGAGTATAATCTTATCAGGATATAAATTTTGGGAAAGGAGAAACTTCCCTTTCTCTTGAGGTAATCTACAATGTTAGGGAAGAAGAAATTCATAGGGCTGTTATGCTTGATGACAAACCCAATAAGGGATCATCTTTGATAACAAGTAAGCCTACAAAACCAAATCCTTCTTCTTCCAAACCTAAGAAGGACCATCGCTAGTAATCCTACTGTAAGAAGTCTGGACACAAAGGAGAACTGCTTCAAGCTCCATGGAAAGGACCAAATTCTTAGTTGCTGAGGAGGGTTCAAGAGCATCTAACATAGCCAGGTCAATGATTAGATTTTAGTAGCAAGCTGGGAATGATAGAGATCCATTCATTAGCTTGAGTGGGAATTTTATAATAGTCCCACATCAATCCTGCATACTTGTATTCTGTTACTATAGATTAGTAGTTATTTTAGACAAGTAATTATTTAGCTAGGTCTATATACTAGAATAAACCCATGTACAATAATGCATTCAGAAATAGTATTCAGTATTTTTCCATTCAAATGAAATACAAGGTAACGATTGATCAGAAACATACCAATGCTTGATCAGAGAGCATAATTTTATCAAGGTAAAATAAGTGTGCGTGTGCTTCCTTATCTGCCCGTCCAACCCTTCCCCGTAACTGCCAACATTTAAAAAATGACAAAATTACCAATATTAGTGAAACAGAAATGGATTATCTGATCTAGTTTCCTTTCTTCCAACAAAAATATCTGAGAAACTTAAAAACAAATGCATACAGGTTCCTTTTTCTTTTATTTTTGGTTAACGAGTTGTACATATTCATTTATTGAAGAGCTACATCATATTTGTTAAGCATCAACTACCCCAAAAGCTTAAAATATTGGGTGAGGGCTTTACATTGGTTTTATATCTTGAACTTGTTCCCTCACACAGGAGTTCTTTGATCTTTAAGAGTGTTCAATGCATAGATTAGTAAGATGCAAGTATATATCAACTATTACTTAATAGGCATGCATTTAACCTCATTTTTTAGAATACTCAGTTCTTAACAAGCCAAATTAATTTTTTCAGAGAAGAAATAGTGAGATGCAACACCAGTAGTTCAACGGCCAATGAGCTCAAAAATATTATATGTAGTACAGAATTGCGAACAATAAACTGCTTGGTTGGCAAATGCAGTTCAAGAGTGGCCCACATATCATTCTGCACCTCCTACAACATACACCCCACATAGAGATTTTTCATGTTCAAATATCTAGAAAATATAAATAATATCATCGTTGTACCTTAAAATATTTTAGAGTATCTTAGATGATCTCTTAGGAGTGGTTTCCATATTCATTATATTTCATGATTTGTTTCCTTATTTGTTTAGGAAGAGGAATCTAGTACTGGCATAAATAAGGACTAATGCGTCATCTTTTGTATAACATCAATACACATGAGAAAAATATAATTTCTAGTCTCTTTTATCTCTCTTTAACCTCTCTTTTCCTTCTTCACTACCCGAATCCCTATAAGTTAAACATTTCACAATCAATTTCTTTCATAGTTGATACTAAAAGCACGCTTGTTTGAAACAACATTAAGTTGATAGTAAGATGAAAACAAAAGTGATTAATGATACTACTGATCTGTATGCATGAAAGTATCAGCTCAGACTTCATGTAGTGAGACAACGCAATACATAATACATTACAAATATAATAACAATAACCAGTTCTAAACAATGATTGGAGTCAACCAATATGACAATATCTAAACCAAAAAGAATAGGATGGAATTGGGAAGAATAAAACCTGGTACAACTGTGCAAGGCCAAATTGTTGAACATCTTGAACGATGATGGTGTTTGCATTTTGAATATCAAGTCCACTTTCTACTATACTTGTGCTAATAAGGATTTTTATTTCACCTAGAGAAAACCTCTCCATTGTATCCTCTAATTTCTTCGAGCGTTGCTACATCATAAACACAGTCAATTATACAAAATGAAAGTCAAAATATCATTCCGTAGAATATGTAGAATATTCTAGATAGTATTTATTGATGTAGTTGGTAGTTGTATATTTAGTTGGTAGTTGTATATTTATTGATGTAGTTGGAGATTGCATATTTATTAAAGTAGTTGAGGTAGTTGGATGTACTCAATATAAAAAGGACCCATTGGGTCTCTCAATGAATAAAGAAAAGTATTATTCAGATAAAACACTTCTTCCACTTCTTCTTTTTTTCATGGTATCAAGAGCTGGTTATATTCCAGTCTCTTCCCCGTTCTGATTTATTTTTAAGTCATTTTCCTATTTATTTTTTTTCGTTTTAGCCACTGCCCAAGCCAGAATCCTTACCTAGACAGACACCTCCAACCACGAAACCAAGGCCACCATTAGGTTCAGAACAAAATTCCGAGCCAGCCCACAGAAGACCCGTGGCAGTACTGTTCATCACTGTAGCAATTACTGTTTCACTGTGGCCAACCCTCTTCTTGTTTTGAGGGTCAAAATCGTATTTGGAGGAACTTTTTTCTGGGTACCTGTTAGAAAGCCATGGATGCTGGAAATTCTGAAATTTCGTCTGGAACCTCACCCCTTCCCAACTCTTCGTCTTCTGGAGACAACCCAGCAATGCAGATCACCAGTCACCGTTTAAACGGTAGGAACTATGTGCAATGGTGTCAATCTGTTAAGTTGTTTATCCAGGCTAAAGGGAAGATGGGGTATCTCGACGGAAAAAAGGTAAAACCAGCAGAACGTGAACCTGGTTATGATGCTTGGGTGACTGAAAATGCTTTAGTCATGACATGGCTGACTAATTCTATGGAACCAGATATCAGTCAAACTTATTTATTTCTTGATACAGCTCACGAGATTTGGGAAGCTGTTAAAGAATATTACTCTGACCTGGGCAATACATCTCAGGCTTTTGATCTCAACACCAAGGTGAAAGAATTACATCAAGGAGGAATGACTGTTACTGAATACTTCCTTGCTCTAAAAATACTATGGCAAGAGTTAGATCTTTATGATAAAGCAGACCTTCAAGGTTTAGAAGCTAATGCAAGGTTCAAAATTTATATAGAGAAAAGGCGTCTTTATGATTTTCTTGCTGGCCTTAATTCTGATCTGGATGATGTTCGTGGAAGAATTTTGGGACAAAACCCATTACCTTCCCTTGCTACTGCTTTTTCTGAAGTACGAAGGGAGGAGCTTCGCCGAAAGGTAATGTTGGGTGATAAGGACTCTAAGTCCTCTGATGGGTCTGCCCTTATAGCAAAGAATACTGTTCGTCTTTCTGGGGACTCAAAACGTTCTGACCGTTGGTGTTCTCATTGCAATAAGGGTGGTCACACCCGTGAAAAATGTTGAGAAATTCATGGAAAACCACCAAACTGGAAACCAAAAGGACAGAACAAGAATCGTGCTAATCAAGTATCTTCCGAAGATAAAGGGGAGGTGTCTCATGTCCCTTCAAACCTTGATGGTGTTTTCCTCTCCAAGGCCCAGTATGAGCAATTTCAGAAACTGATATCTCAACCTGCCGAGGCAACTAGTCATGTTGCTCAAAAACGTATGGCATTCCATGTTGAACGTAGTAATCGTTGGATCCTTGATTCAGGGGCCTCTGATCACATGACAGGTAATGCAACCTTATTTTTCTCCTATACCCCTTACTATCACCCGTCACGAATAAGAACAGCTGATGGGAATTTCTCCGCTATTGCGGGTAAGGGATCCATTAAACTTTCTGAGCATATTATTTTGAATTCAGTCTTTCATGTTCCCTCTCTTACCTGTAACCTCATCTCAATTAGCAAACTTACTGCTGAGTCGCATTGTGTTGCTAAGTTCTCTGCAAATGCTTGTACCTTTCAGGAACAAGACTCGGGGACGATGATTGGCAGTGCTAGAGAGGAAGAAGGGCTCTACTATTTTAAAGAGGATCCTTGTGAAAGGAGGATTTTTTCAAACCACTCTTTATGTTTATCAGATGATTGTAATGATGTTTTGTTATGGCATCGTAGGTTAGGACACCCAAATTTTGTCTATCTTCAGAAGTTATTCCCGAACTTGTTCATCAATAAAAAGCCAAGTTCCCTTCTTTGTGATATTTGTCAGCTTGCAAAGCATTCTCGTGCCACTTATTCTCCTAAAAAATATCATGAATCTTCTCCCTTTACATTGATTCATAGTGATATTTGGGGACCTGCTCGTGAAAAAAATGTCTCGGGTGCTCGTTGGTTTATTACTTTCATTGATGATCATTCTAGGGTATGTTGGGTATACCTCTTGAAAGATAAGTCTGATGCGGCATCCACCTTTAAAAATTTTCATGCTATGATTCAAACTCAATTCTAGACCTCTATCAAAATTCTGCGAACAGACAATGGTACTGAATATTTTAATTCTGTTCTTGGAGATTACCTAAACCAGCATGGAATTATTAATCAAAGTTCTTGTCCTAACACCCCTCAACAAAATGGGGTGGCTGAAAGAAAAAATAGACATCTAATTGAAGTTGCTCGAGCTCTTTTATTCACGATGCATGTCCCTAAATATCTGTGGGTGGAAGCCGTCTTGACAGCCTCTTATCTCATTAACCGGATGCCTTCTCGAGTACTAAATTTTCATTCTCCTTTATCTTGTCTTACTAAATTTTTTCCCTCTTTCAGTGTTGTTTCTTCTCTTCCTCCCAGAATATTTGGTTGTGTGGTTTTTGTGCATATTCCTCCACATCACAAGTCCAAACTTGACCCTAAATCTGTTAGATGTGTCTTCATAGGATATTCCCCTAATCAAAAAGGTTATAAGTGTTACTCACCTTCTCTCCGTAAGGTTTTTGTTTCCATGGATGTTACCTTTTATGAGACACAATCCTTTTTTTTCCCGACTTCTCTTCAGGGGGAGTCTATTGGTATTGGTATGGATTAAGATAAGCCTGGGAAACCAAATGATGCTGCTGTCTTACCTTGGCCTTTGGAAACAGGGGGAGTTATTGGGAAGGAAACAGGGGGAGCAACTATACCTGAATCTAATGATCCTCCTTGGTAAATGGTAAATGGGGAAAATTTTACAGCAGGCGCAAAACACATGAAGATACTCTAGACTGCTAGGATCCTGATTCGAGTCCTTGTTCCAGCAACCCACTTGAATGTACTAGTACAGCTAACATTGATATGCCTATTGCTCTTCGGAAAGGTACTAGATCTTGCACTGCTCATCCTATTTCCCATTATATCTCATATGAAAAGTTGTCTCAAGGTTTTCGTGCTTTCAACACTATGTTAGATAGTAGCAAGATACCCAAAAATATCCAAGAAGCACTTGATGACCCAAAATGGAGGAATGCTGTATTAGAAGAAATGGATGCACTTACAAAAAATGGAACATGGGAGTTTGTGACATTACCTAAAGGAAAGAAAACTGTTGGTTGCAAGTGGGTGTTCACAATAAAATTCAATGCAGACAATAGCATCAATAGGTATAAGGCCAGATTAGTTGCTAAGGGATTTACTCAGACTCATGGGATAGATTATCAGGAGACATTTGCTCATGTTGCCAAACTTAACATTATCCGCGTTCTGCTATCTCTTGCCTCCAACCTTGATTGGCCATTGCAACAGTTAGATGTTAAGAATGCCTTCTTGAATGGTGATCTACATGAGGAAGTTTACATGGATCCACCTCCTGGTTTTGAAAAAGGGGATGGTTCTGTGTGCAAGTTGCAGAAGTCTCTCTATGGACTTAAACAATCTCCCAGAGGATGGTTTGGGAAATTTACTCAAGCTGTTAAGGGAAGAGGGTTCACCCAAGCTCAGACTGATCACACCTTATTTTTTAAACACTTCGACAAAGGAAGAATTGCTATTCTGATCGTTTATGTTGATGACATAATTATCACTGGTAATGATAGCGAGGAGATAACCTCTTTAAAAAAATGTTTAGCTGACCAGTTTGAACTAAAAGATCTTGGATTTCTCAAATATTTCCTTGGCATGGAAATTGCTCGGAGTAAGGAAGGAATTTCTTTAACTCAGAAAAAATACATTCTAGACATGTTGCAAGAAACAGGTATGCTTGGGTGCAAGCCGGCAGAGACTCCAATTGAAGCTAATATCAAGATGGGTGTTGAGGACAGGGAAGATGTTGATAGGGAGCAGTACCAGAGACTAGTGGGGAAATTAATCAATTTGTCTCACACTCGTCCTGATATTGCTTTTGCTGTGAGCATGGTTAGCCAATTCATGCATTCTCCTAAGGAAAAACACCTTAGTGCTGTTTATAGAATTCTCAAATACCTCAAAAATACCCTTGGTCGAGGAATTTTCTTTAAAAAGGGGCACAAAAGGATTATTGAAATCTATACAGAAGCAGACGGGGCTAGCTCTGCAATGGACCGAAGATCTACTTCAGGATATTGTACTTATGTCTGGGGAAACCTTGTGACCTGGAGAAGTAAGAAACAAACTGTTGTTGCAAGAAGCAGAATTTCGGGCTCTAGCCCATGGTATTTGTGAAGGAATTTGGTTACGAAGGCTTCTGGAGGAGTTGAAGATCTCATATTCCCTACCTATCAGATTATATTGTGATAATAAGGCTGCTGTCAGCATTTCTCAAAATCCGTTCATCATGACAGAACAAAACATGTGGAAGTTGATCGTCACTTTATCAAAGAGAAGTTAGAAGACGGTAGTGTATGCTTGACATATATACCTACCAAGGAATAGACGGCATATATCCTCACCAAAGGATTACTTAAGCCGACCTTTGAGAATTTGATCAGCAAGTTGGGAATGATCAATATATATCTCCCAACTTGAGGGGGAGTGTAGAATATGTAGAATATTCTAGATAGTATTTATTGATGTAGTTGGTAGTTGTATATTTAGTTGGTAGTTGTATATTTATTGATGTAGTTGGAGGTTGCATATTTATTAAAGTAGTTGAGGTAGTTGGATGTACTCAATATAAAAAGGACCCATTGGGTCTCTCAATGAATCAAGAAAGTATTATTCAGTTAAAAGACTTCTTCCACTTCTTCTTTTCTTCAGAAGGTTCTGGACCGGTTGGGAGAAACATGGTGTGGGTGGAAGAAGTGGTTGGGCCAGTTGGCGAGCATGGACAAAGGGAGGCCAGCGAGCAACTTTGGGCCTACGAACCGAATTGGGCCCATCTGATATTAAAAAAGGAGCCTCAGCTAATGTGGGTCAAACGCACTCAAATAGCCTGAGTCAAGCCAACCCATTTGTAATGCAAACCAACAACGTCACTTACCCTAATGCCCAAAATGCTCAGACGGACAACACGAGGGGTGGACCAGCGATGAAGGTGTCAACAGCTGCCACCGGAACTCGAACGCAGGAGAGCCACGTAGACTATGGACGACGGCTGACTCAGGCTGTTATCCGTGAGCAACAACATCGCGACTTCATATGCGACAAGCGTTGG